ATCTCTAGACTGGGAGGCCTGGGTTCATAACAGCCTAAAGGGTCCTCTTGTGGCATAGTGGTAGTGCCCCTACCCCTGGACCAGGATGCCGGGGTTCAATTCCCACCTGCTCTGCTGGTATTTAATAACATCTCAGAGGGCCCCCTTGTGGCTCAATGGTAGTGTCCCTACCCCTGGATGGGGAGGCCTGGGGTTCAAGTTCCACCTGCTCCGTTGGTGTTCAATAACATCTCTGAACAGGTCAATTGGAAAATATCTACAAGTGGGGTTGTGTATTACAGATTCTGCGCCTGTGTACACCTCAGGGCTAGGGTAGGGGGGATGGGACTGGGTGGGATGCTCTTCGGAAGGTCGGTGTGGACTCGATGGTCTGAATGGCCTGCTACCAAAAGTAGGGCTACTATGTTTCCTGCACACAAAGCCATTTCTGCCCTCGGTGATACATTTGACCCTAAGTTGGGTGCTGGCCTCACATCTGCCCCCTCACACAGGCTGTCAATTGGCAGCACAATAACCACACGCACTGTGTTTGCTGTCCATCTGCCGCTGAAACACTCCATTCCCTCCAAACCTGACTGTTCACCACACACCTGGTTGCTCCCTCCTCCAAATCTCTGCTCCCTGGCCATACCAAATCCCTTCCCCTATGCCCACCCCATGCTCGCTGACCAACATCTGCTCCCAGTCAAGAAAACTCTTCACTTTAAAGTTCTCCTCTTTCTTTTCAATTCCTTCCATGGCGCCTCCACCTCCCTCCCTATCTCTCCAATCCCATAAACAAAACGTCCTCTCTCAAACTGTGGAAGCGAACCATTTAGCCCATCGAGTCCACACAGACCCTCTGAAGAGTATCCCACCCAGATCCACTCCCTACCCTATCCCTGTAACCCTCCATTCCCCATGGCCAATCCACCCAACCTGCACATCCCTGAACACTATGGGTAATTTCCCATGGCCCAATCCACCCAACCTGCACATCCCTGAACACTATGGGTAATTTCCCATGGCCCAATCCACCCCAACCTGCACATCTTTGGACTGTGGGAAGAAACCGGAGCACCCGGAGGAGACCCACGCAGACACGGGGAGAATGTGCAAACTCCACACAGACAGTCGCCCGAGGGTGGGTCCCTGGCACTGTGAGGCAGCAGTGCTAACCATGCTGGGCGTCTACAAAATGTTAAAATCTCGATGTGTGTTCCAGAATTCCAGTGGTGGAGAAGGGCCAGTTACTGGCTTAATCCATCACGGCTCCATTTAATTGTATCACGATCACTTTCCTCGTTCTGCCAGTGAATTAATAATCCATTTGCTTCCCATCTCATGAGATCCAGCCAGGTGATGAAATAATGGTATAGCATAGTGATAATGTCCATGGACTAGATTCATACAGCACGGAAATTGACCTTTTGTCCAACCGGTCCATGCTGACCATAATCCCAAACTAAACTAGTCCCACCTGCCTGCGCCTGGCCCATATCCCTCCAAACTTTTCCTATTCACGCACTTATCCAAATGTCTTTTAAATGTTGTAACTGTACTTGTATCCACCACTTCCTCTGGAAGTTCATTTCACACATGAACCACTCTCTGTGTAAAAAAAAATTGCCCCCATGTCTTTTTTAAATCTTTCTCCTCTCACCTGAAAAATATGCCCCCTCCTCTTGAAATCCCCTCAACAAGGTCACCCCTCAGCCTCCTATGCTCCAGTGAAAAAAGTCCCAGCCTATCCATATAACTCAAACCCTCCATTCCCAGCAACATCCTGGCATATCTCTTCTGAACCCTCTCCAGATTAATAATATCTTTCCTATAGCAGGGCAACTAGAACTGTACACAATATTCCAGAAGAGGTCTTGCCAATGTCCTGTACAAACACAACATGACATCCTGATTCCTGTACTCAAAAAGGTCTGAGCAATGAAGGCAAGCATGCTAAACACTTTCTTAACCATCCTGTCTACATACGATAGAAACTTCAGAAAATTATGTACCTGAACCCTTATCTCTGTTCTACAACACTACCAAAGGCCGTGCTTTTAATCATATAAATCCTGCCCTTGTTTGTTTTACCAAAATGCAAACACCTCGCATTTAGCCAAATTAAAGTCCACCTGCCACTCTTCAGCCCATTGAGCGAACACATCATGATCTCTTTGTAATTGAGTAAATCCCGAGGTGCTCTGGGGACTGGGTCTCAAATACTGAACCAGCAGCTGGTGGAATTTAAATCCAATTAATAAATCTGGAATTGAAAGCTAGCCTCAGAAACACAGGAACTGTCAGTCTTTTATTCATTAACAAGATGAGGGCATTGCTGGCTCATCAGCATTTGTTGCCCATCCCTAATTGCCCAGAGGGCAGTTCAGAGTCAACCACATTGCTGTGGGTCTGGAGTCACATGTAGGCCAGACCAGGTAAGGATGGCAGTTTCCTTCCCTAAAGGACATTAGTGAACCAGGTGGGTTTTTCTGACAATAGATTCATGGTCATCAGCTATTTTATCTGGGTCTGTCGATTAACAGTCCAGCGATAATACCACGAGGCCATCCCTCCCTTGGCAGTCTGGCAAGCCTGCCCTTGCATTCAATACAATCATGGCTTATTAAACACATCAACGCCTTTTACTCACCCCATCTCCATAACCCTGTACTCCACCAGTCATCTATCAATCTCTATCTCAAATATTCTCAAACACCGAGTTTCCACAGCGTCTGTGATTCACAATTCCAAAGATTCACAATCCTCCGAGCAAAATTATTTCTCCTCACCTTGAACCTAAGTCGCATCCTTCTTATTTTTAAATTTACCCCTCGTTCTGGACTCCCTATTGGCGGGGTGGTGGGGGGGTGAGGGGGGTGGAATTTTACCTGCATGTCTATCCCTTTAAGTAGTTTGTACATTTCAATGAGATCACCTCTCATTCTTCGAGAATAAATGTCCATCAATTGTAAAACAAAACTATCTGGTTCACCAATATCCTTTAGGGAAGGAAATCTGCTGTCATTACCCTATCTGGCCTACTTGTGACTCCAGGCCCACAATGTTGTGGTTGACTCTTACTTGGCCTCTGAAGTGGCCTAGGAAACCATTCAGTTCAGAGGCGATGAAGCAACAAGTGTTGGCCAGCAAATCCTACATCCCATAAAAGAATAAAGAAAAGTCAATGATAACTCTTGGAGATGGACCTCAGTCGTCAGGCAATCCCCGTGAAACAGGTGGACTATCCAACCTTCTCTCCCTTTCTCCAACCACAGCGAAGGACAGTTTGACCTCGCCCTGCACAAACCTGCTCCTCCCGCCAGCTCATTTACCTTCTCTTTTGTCCTCAACTCGTTGAACATCTGCTGGATCTCCAGCTTCCAGTCCTCCTGGAGGGAGTGAAAAGACTCCAGAGGCATCTCGAAGAGGGACGACTGCTCGATTTCGACCAGCTGAGCGAGGATAGAGCTGAACGATGGGCGACTGTGTGCGTCTGCGTTCCAACAATCTGCCACCAAGCACATCCACAGTCAGGACCTTAACGTTCGCAGGTCACCTAACAACTAGAAGCTAAAGTGCCCACCGCTGCAGTGTTTCAGCTGCTCGTAATCAGGCCTTGGTCACGGTGCTCTTACCTTCCATGAGTTTACCAAATGGCTCGGGACAGGTGGACGGGATCGGAAGGGTCAGTTTATTTACAGCCACTCCATAAGCAACGGCCAGTCCATCGATCTCTCGATACGGAGCTTCCCCAGTCAGCAACTCCCACAGCAAGACTCCGAAACTGAGGACAGAGTCAAAACGAAGAATCAAAAACCCATTGGAGATCACAAAAAGCCTCCAAACCTGAGAGCTGAACCCCCACCCCCACCACATGTAGCTGGATCAGTACAACGACAGCAGCAGCCTGCATTTAGATCATAGACAGCCCTACAGTGTGGAAACAGGCGCTTCGGCCCAACAAGTCCACACCGACCCTCAGAACATCCCACCCAGACCCATCCCCCTATAACCTACCTAAGCTACACATCCCTCAGCACTATAGGCAATTTAGCACGGCCAATCCACCCTAACCTGCACATCTTTGGACTGTGGGAGGAAACCCACGCAGACACAGGGGAGAACGTGCAAACTCCACACAGACAGTCGCCCGAGGGTGGAATCGAACCCAGGTCCCTGGCGCTGTGAGGCAGCAGTGCTAACCACTGAGCCACCATGCCACCCTTTCTGTGTAGGAAGACATCCCCAACGCAGGGGTGTTCGCAAACCACACTGACACCAAGCCCAAAGGTATTAAATGGGTGTCCGAAACCGTGGCTGGTGTTAGATTGAAAGTAGCGTCGCAAAGGAGGGGAAGAGGGGTCGAGCGGTTTGGGGAGGGGATTGTGGAGTTTAGGGTCCAGGCGCTGAGGTGAAGAAAGTAAGGACAGCCCAGAGGCTCTGAGGGGAACAGCGCAGAGATCTCAGAGGGTTGTGGGTCTGAAGGAGTTTAGTGAGATAGGAAGGGTACCAGGTCGAGGAGGGGTTTTGGAAACAGGAGAAAAGGACAGAAACACCACAATCGAAGCTGCCCAAACTTGTGCCAATGCAGTCGGTGAGCAGAGCAGGATGATGGGTGAACAGGACTGGGCGTGAGTCAGAGTTTTTGCGAAAGAAGCAAACATGGGGTTGAGAAAATAAAACATTTTCCATACAGTCCATGGCACAACCTGGAAGTGCGATGGAGGCAGGTTCAATTGAGGCATTACAGAGAGCGTTGGATAGTTATGTGCAGGGTTGTGGGGAGAAGGCACGGGAAGTCAAAGTTTTCAGAGAGCCTGCAGAGGCATGATGGGCCTCATTCCACGCTGTAACAGTTCTGCGATTTGTGCATGATAGAGAGGAGTCCAGACAGTACTGTGCTGGAATGGCCAGTGTGTGAGAAAGACTAAAATAATGGGGCAACGTTAACTGAGCTGGACATCGGAAAAGCCAGAATATTTAGTCCTCTCCTGCAGTCTTTCTTTTTTTCTTCCGGAGCGTTATCTTTTGCCGGAGTGAGGTGCAGCTCCAGTGTCCCTGTTACCTCCACACGTCGCTGTTCTTGGAAAACAGGGACAACTTAATAACTTCAGGAGCCATCCAGGCATAGGTACCAGCAGCACTCATCTTGGTCGTACGATGCCACTCCCGTGCCAAACCAAAATCTGTGATCTTCAACGTTTTGTTGGTGAGATCGTCGCCATCTGCCTTCTCCAGAATCAAAACTGGAAAATACATAAGAGTAAATTTAATAAGACAAGAGAAAACCCGCCCTTCAATCTCGCCGTAAGAGGTTAGCAACTTCAATCTGTCTGATACAAACCTTCATCCTCGCTTATCTTTGCGATGAAGCCCACAAGGATAGACATTCTGGTCCCATCAACCTATCCCAGGGGCTTCAGAGGGTAACCATCATCTCGAGGGGAACTGACCAACTACATCATGATTGAATGTTCTGAGGAAGGGTCACCGGACCCGAAACGTTAACTCTGATTTTTTCTTCACAGATGCTGCCAAACCTGCTGAGCTTTTCCAGCAACTTCTGTTCTTCCCGATTTACAGCATCCGCAGTTCTTACATCAAGATTGAGTTTTTTTTTTGAGGAGGTGACAAGACCAAACAATGAGGGAAGGGCAGTGAATGTTGTCTACATGAACTTTACCAGGATGCTGCCTGGTCTGGGGGGGATTTTAGCTACGCAGAAAGGTTGGATAGACTGGGTTTGTTTTCACTGGAACGCAGGAGGTTGAGGGGGCGACCTGATAGAAAGTTTATAAGATTGTGAATGGCATGGATAGAGTAGAAAGTATGAGGCTTTTTCCCAGGGTGGGATTACTGGGGGACATAGGTTCAAATTGCGAGGGGGCCAAGTTTAAAAGAGATCTGCGAGGCAGTTTTTCACACAAAGGGTGGTGAGTGCCTGGAACGCGCTGCCAGAGGAGGTGGTGGAAGCAGACACAATAACAGTATTCAAGAAACACCTGGACGAATACATGAACAGGAAGGGAACAGAGGGATATGGATCATGGAAGTGAAGACAGTTTTAGTATGGAAGGGCAGAATGTGTCAGTGCAGGCTTGGAGGGCTGAAGGGCCTGCTCATGTGCTGTACTGTTCTTTGACTTTAGTAAGACATTTGATAAGGTACCTCGTGGCAGGCTGGCACAGAACGTAGCGTCTCGAGGAAAATGAGGTGAGCTGCCTAAATGGTTTCAAGCTAGGTGGGTTGCAAAAGATAGAGTAGCAGTGAAAGGGTGCTTTTCAGAACGGAGATCAGTAACTTGTGGTGTTCTGCAGGGATCAGTGCTGGCACCTTTGTTGTCTGTTATATATATTTTGTTGCAAACAGTATTTCCAAAGCCCCAAAAAGCGTGTGATAAGACAAGCCTGAAGCATTTGCAACCATTTTCAGCCAGGAGTGTTGAGTAGAGGTTCCATCTCCGTCTCTTCCTCAAGTCCCCAGCAGCACAGATGCCAGTCTCAAGCTATTCTGTGTGATATGAAGAAATGGCTAAAAGCCAAAAACCATGATAGGCTACAGGCCCCAACAACATTCTAACAATTGGACTGAAGACTCATGCTCCAGAACTGGCCACACCTCTAACCAAGATAGTAGGAACTGCCGATGCTGGAGAATCTGAAATAACAAGAAAATGAAGAAGGGTCTAGACCCGAAACGTCAGCTTTCCTGCTCCTCTGATGCTGCTTGGCCTGCTGCGTTATCCAGCTCCGCACCTTGTTATCTCACACCTCTAACCAAGCTGTTCCAGTACAACGTAGCACTGACATCTGCCAGACAATGTGGAAAATTGACTGGGCATGTGTTGCCAACCTAAAACTGGGCAAATCCAACGCAGCCAATATGAATGTCCCATCAATCCACTGCCAATTAGCGGCAAAGTGATGGAAAGTGTCTTCGAAAGTGCTATCAACAGCAGCCAGTTTACCAATGCACATCTACACTGAGGGTTTCATCAGAATCCCTCAGCTCCTGGATCTTAAAATCTTGCCACTCCCTCCCTACCAGCACCATGAATGTCCCTACAGCACATGGACTGCAGGACTGCTCAGGACCACCTTCTCAATTACAGAAGGGCAATAAACACGGCCTAGATTTTCCCCTGTCCAGTTCCGGGACATCAGAGGAAAATGTTACAGATTTCCAGGTATGTATTCCTGAAGCTTTGAAAGTCCCAAAAAGGATTTTTAAACCAGTCTTCAGACTAGAGGCTAGAAATTTATTAAGACCTACTCATCAACAAACCTCCCGCATGGACAATTATCCTCAGCCTGATCTCAGAATAACTTTGTGCTCCTAAGAAAGATTCACTTTAACAATAGAACGACACGTCATCGTGTAGAGTGAAAGCCAGAGCAGATACCCGGGAAATTTGGTGCTGTTCGAGGTAGGAATATTGTCTCAGTGCATGTTCCAGTCAAATGACGTGAAGGAACCTCATTGTCTTATTCAAGGAAGATCAGTGGGGGGGCGAAGGGTTCCTCATGCATTGAGACAATATTCCTACCTCGAACAGTGCTGTGAGGCAGCCGTGCTAACTACTGTGCCACCTTGTCACCCCTTTCTTTTTTGTATCCCTCCTCATCCCTCATTCCTACCTACCCTCCTTCCCTGAACTGCATATACCCTTTTCCTTCCCTACCTGATACTCCCACTCCCACATAGTGGTCTCCAAGCCTCCGTTTGGTCTCCCAAGAGGAGGCCACATCGGGAACAACGGATACAATAGACCACATTAGCAGGGGCCCTGTGCACGGATGTTATAAAAATGCCACTTGGCCCATTTGCTCTGTCCTGGGCCTCCTAGCCCAGCCCTTCCATCCCTTCGATCGCAGCTCTCCCTGTGGGAGCGAGTCCCAATTTCTCCCAAAAGGTGATCCGCGACATGAGGGAAGAACTAATTGGGACTGTTCGAGATAAGGAGAAGGTTGAAGTGTGTGTGAGATCTCCCAAACAGGATTGTGATATGGAGGCAGACTAACTGTCACCGTACCGTCTCCCCCTCACGCACCATCAAGCAGCTTTAAATACCTTCACTTCTTCAGACACCTGTCAACAGTGTCATCTCTGCCTTTGTTTGTGTTCTACGCTGCTCCAGCCACCAGTGAGCTGTCTCTGGAGCAGGCCAGAAAATTCTACAACAGAAACCACCAAAATGTCAGATTCACTTCTGTTTTTTTTCGTGTGTGTGTGTGCAGACGGAACACAATTCTCTCTCACTGAGGCCCTCGCTCCCCTCCCCGCATGTTGTCACGTTTCCCCATCCATAGCAGTTCCTCACGCAGAAGGAACTGGGTCACCACCCAGAGAGAGAGAATATGTTCAGGGCTACAGGGAAAAGGCAGAGGAAGTGGAACCAGTCATGTCGTTGTTGCAGAGAGCTGGCACAGATACAGTGGGCTGAATGGCTGTAACCAGTCTGTGACTTCCCTTTGTCCCCAAGTACGGAAACAGGCCTGTGACCCCAATTAGTTCTTCCCTCATGTCACGGATCGCCTTACACCTCAGCTGTCCCTCAGTTCCCTTATTGACCAAAGCCCCAACAGACTCGAGCTTCACTGGGATAGGGATCTGAAGATTTGTGACCTACTCATCTCCGTCTGAAATATCTGACCCCATTATCCGAGGAGACTGTGACCACTACTCTGGACTCTCGGGTCAAGGGGAAGAGTCTAGCTCCCAGCAGCTACCCTACGTTGGAGCAGCACCCATTACAACCCTACAAAGGGACAGAGCGAGTTAGTGAGCATAGCAAAGCTAGGCATTGCTGCATTAGGGAAGGACCCACATCTGGGGTATTATGTCCAGTTCTGGTCGCCTCATTACAGGAAAGATGTGGAAGCGTTGGAAAAGGTGCAGAGGAGATTTACCAGGATGTTGCCTGGAATGGAGGGAAGGTCTTACGAGGAAAGGTTGAGAGAGCTAGGGCTTTTCTCTTTAGATCAACGAAGGATGAGAGGTGACTTGATAAAGGTGTACAAAATGATCAGAGGTATAGATAGAGTAGACAGCCAGAGACTTTTTCCTAGGGTGGAGTTAGCTATTACAAGGGGGCATAGTTTTAAAGTGAGTGGAGGCAGATATAGGGGAGATGTCAGATGTCTCTCTTTACTCAGAGTGGTCGGGGCGTGGAATGCGTTGCCGGAGAGAGTAGTGGAGTCGGCCTCATTAGGGGCATTTAAGCGGCTATTAGATAGGCATATGGATGATAGTATTAGGTAGGGGTAGAGATTAGATAGACCTTAGGATTAGGGTAAAAGTTCGGCACAACATCGTGGGCTGAACGGCCTGTACTGTTCTATGTTCTATGATGCACATTTATATAGCACCTTTCAAAACATTGAGGCCCCCCAGCAAAGCACTTGAAAGCCAAGTTTTATTTGTCGGGGTGGGCTGTCTGTCCTAAATGAGGGGGCCACAAATATAAGAAAATCATTAACAAACTTGATCGTGAATTCAGGAGAAACCCCTTTCCCCGGAGAGTGGGGAGAATGTGGGACTCGCTCCCACAGGGAGAGCTGCGAACGAAGGGATGGAAGGGCTGGGCTAGGAGGCCCAGGACAGAGCAAATGGGCCAAGTGGCATTTTTATAACATCCGTGCACAGGGCCCCCGCTAATGTGGTCTATTGTATCCGTTGTTCCCGATGTGGCCTCCTCTTGGGAGGCCAAACAGAGACTCGGAGACCACTATGTGGAGCACCTGCGCTTGGTTCGCGACAAACGACTGTACCTCCCAGTCACAAACCATTTCAACTCCCCCTCCCACTCCCTGGATGACATGTCCATCCTGAGCCTCCTGCAGTGTCACAACGATGCCACCCGAAGGTTGCAGGAACAGCAACTCATATTCCGCTTGGGAACCCTGCAGCCCAATGGTATCAATGTGGATTTCACAAGCTTCAAAATCTCCCCTCCCCCTACCGCATCCCAAAACCAGCCCAGCTTGTCCCCGCCTCCCTAACCTCTTCTTCCTCCCACCTATTCCCTCCTCCCACCTCCATCTCCTACCCACCGGCCTCATCCCACCCCCCCCCTCGGCCCACCTCTCCCCTCCCTCACTCCCCACCTACACTCACCTTTACTGGCTCCATCCCCGCCTCCCTGACCTGTCCGTCTCCTCTCCACCTATCTGGTCCTTTATCCATCTTCCATCCGCCTCCCCCTCTCTCTCCATTTATTTCAGAATCCCCTTCCCCTCCCTCTGAA